TCACAAAATTTGTTTCAAATGAGTAATTCGTATGTAGCCATTTCCTTCATGCCAGTTTTCGGTGCCGCCATGCTGGACTTGGCATAGATGTTTTGCCATCAATCATCAATCCATCGGTGAATTTAATAACCGCTGTAATGAATTGATGGATCGATGAATTAGAAAATTTTATGTCACTTTTTTGTCGAGGGAACTCAAAATAGCGATACAACCTTTATAACGCTAATGAAGGAGCTCCCCCTCAACGCCCGTAGTAATTGGGTATTCGGAGGTTCCATCTCCAAAAATATCCGCCACCGCCATTTCCGTCATTTTCACGATAGTTTCCTAATCTATTTGGATTTCCAGCTCAAAAACAAAAGTTGCCAGCAAAGCCTTTCCAGGTCCTCACGATGTCTGATTAGCGCCAAGACAATGCTCAGATGAGCTGTTGAATCCAAACAGCCCATCACCAACACCTGCACCAGCAGCAACGATCTATTCGACTTTTCAACCGTTGAAATCTCCAAAATCGCCTGGTTCAAGACGGATGACGGATGATCCGCCACCAGAAAATTGGCCTGGACCTCGCCGCCATAAGATGGAAGTTTTGTCACCAGTATAATATTGAGATCCGACATGAAGAGATAAATTTATAGGTTTTCTCAAATTTATATATCCTCTCACGTAAGCTCCGTAGCTGCAGTTCCACCACCAGATACGTCATCCATAATCAAACAAATATTTTCTGGCCGAAAGAAAATTTCATAGGCTTCTGAATGTGTTGCATTAATACCTTCGATAATCAATAGAAAAGTTAAATTTTTTCGTTTTGAAACCTATCTTATATTTTAAAACTACTTTCTTGTCAGAATCAATTATGAAAAGTGACAAATGAAATTAACTTTAATTGCTCTCTGGAAATATTGAGAGTACTTGCCAAATATAAGATAACGTAAACTATATAAATCTGAACCAAGCAATATTGAAAAGGGCATCAATAATATTCTAAATCATTTATTCTGTTTATCAATCAATATATTTTATGCATCTAATTCAAAGCTTAAATAATCATCTATAAGTCACATACAAATATTCAAATGTCAAATTTATTGAAAGTGTTGTTTATGATTCAATGATAAGAACGTATAAAATAACTAAAGATATTCATAAATACTTTTGGAAACAACTCACATAATTGTTTCAAATTGGTAAATTCGTATGTAGCCATTCCCTGAATGGCCAACCTCAGTGCCACCATGTGGAACTTGGCATAGATGTTTTACCATCAATCATTACTGCGTCTGTGAACTTATAACCGCTGTAGTGAATTGATGGATCAAATGAATTAGAAATTTTAATGTCACTTTTCGTTTGAAGAATTCAGAATGGCAATTACAATCTTTATAACCGCTAATGAAGGAGCTTCCCCCTACCACCGCCACAATGTTGAGGTATATTTCGAGTTTCCACCTCCGAACATACCCACCACCACGCCAGCATTCCCATCATTATCTCCTGAGGATTCTATTCTATTTGGATTTCAGCTCCAAATTCCAAAAAGTGCCGGCCAGACCTTTTCCGGGTCCTCCTGATATCTGAGTGGCGCCAAGACCATGCTCATATGTGCTGTTAAATCCAAAGTAGCCCGCTCCAGCACCACCAGGATCCTCATAAAATGCATTTCCAATGAGTGTACCATCCTGAGGACACCTGCACCAGCAGCAACGAATTATTCGACTTTTCAACCGTTGAAATCCCAAAATCGCTGGTTCAAGCGTATATCAGATGATCCGCGCCAGAAAATTGGCCTGGACCTCCGCCACCATAAGACGGAAGAGTTGCACCAGAATAATATTTTAGATCAGACATGAAGATATAATTTTATAGATTTATCAAATTTAATATACCCTTTGACGTATGCACCGTCGATCCAGTTCCTATGCCTGAAGCACCCATAATTCAAACAAATATTTTCCGGATTGGAGAAGAATTTCATAAGCTCCGAATGCGTTGCATTAATTCCTCATAATCATACAGAGCAGTTTAAATTTTTCGTTTTAACTTAGAATCAATTTAGAAAACTTTTTTATCAAAAGCTAAGACGAAAAGTGCTCATAAAATTAACCTTATTGTATCATCTTCAACAGAATTATTGACAAGGACATCAATAACAAAGTTCTGATATAATAATCCATGAATCATGTTATCATCAGTAAAACTACAGACAGTATTTCATTTTTCGAATTTTATCGAAAGTGTTGAAGATATAAAATAACTAAAGATATTCATAGAATACTTTTTGAGAACAACTCACACAAATTTGTTTCAAATTGAGTAATTCGTATGTAGCCATTTCCTTCATGGCCAGTTCGGTGCCGCCATGTTGACTTGGCATAGATGTTTCCATTCATCATCAATCCATCGGTGAAATTTATAACCGCTGTAATGAATTGATAGGATCGATTGAATTAGAAAATTTTATGTCACTTTTTTGTCGAGGAACTCAAAATAGCGATACAACCTTTATAACGCTAATGAAGGACTCCCCCTCAACCGCCGTAGTTAATTGGGTAATTTCGGAGTTTCCATCTCCAAAATATCCGCCACCGCCATTTCCGTCATTTTCACGATAGTTTCCTAATCTATTTGGATTCCAGCTCCAAAACCAAAAGTGCCAGCAAGACCTTTCCAGGTCCTCACGATGTCTGATTAGCGCCAAGACAATGCTCAGATGAGCTGTTGAATTCCAAACAGCCATCACCAAACACCTTGCACCAGCAGCAACGATTATTCGACTTTTTCAAACCGTTGAAATCTCCAAAATCGCCTGGTTCAAGACGGATGACGGATGATCCGCCACCAGAAAATTGGCCTGGACCTCCGCCGCCATAAGATGGAAGTTTTGCACAGTATAATATTGAGATCCGACATGAAGATATAAATTTATAGGGTTCTCAAATTTAATATATCCTCTCACGTTAAGCTCCGTTTAGCTGCAGTTCCACCACCAGATACGTCCCATAATTCAAACAAATATTTCCTGGCCGAAAGAAAATTCATAAGGCTCTGAATGTGTTTGCATTAATACCTCGATAATCATATAGAAAAGTTAAATTTTTTCGTTTGAACCTATCTATATTTAAAACTACTTTCTTGTCAGAATCAATTATGAAAAGTGACAAATGAAATTAACTTAATTGCTCTCTGGAAATATTGAGAGTACTTTGCCATATAAGATAACGTAAAACTATATAAATCTGAACAAGAATATTGAAAGGCATCAATAATAGTTCTAAATCATTTTATTCTGTTTACAATCAATATTATTTTATGCATCTAATTCAAAGCTTAAATAATCATCTATAAGTTCACATACAAATATTCAAATGTCAAATTTATTGAAAGTGTGTTTATGATTCAATGATAGAAGTATTAAAATAAAACTAAAGATATTCATAGAATACTTTTGAGAACAACTCACATAATTTGTTTCAAATTGGGTAATTCGTATGTAGCATTCCCTGAATGGCCAACCTCAGTGCCACCAGTGGACTTGGCATAAGATGTTTCCATCAATCATTACTGCGGTCTGTGAACTTATAACCGCTGTAGTGAATGATGGATCAAATGAATTTAGAAAATTTAATGTCACTTTTCGTTGAAGAATTCAGAATGGCAATACAATCTTTATAACGCTAATGAAGGAGCTTCCCCCTCCACCGCCAACATGTTGAGGTATTCGGAGTTTTCCACCTCCGAAATACCCACACCACCGCCAGCATTCCCATCATTATCTCCTGAGGATTCTATTTCTATTTGATTTCCAGCTCCAAATCCAAAAAGTGCCGGCAAGACCTTTTCCGGGTCCTCCTGATATCTGAGTGGCGCCAAGACCATGCCATATGTGCTCGTTAAATCCAAGTAGCCCGCCTCCAGCCCACCAGCATCCTCATAAAATTGCATTTTCAATGAGTGTACCATCCTGAGACCCTGCACCAGCAGCAACGATTATTCGACTTTTCAAACCGTTGAAATCTCCAAAATCGCCTGGTTCAAGGCGTATATCAGATGATCGCCGCCAGAAAATTGGCCTGGACCTCCGCCACCATATAGACGGAAGAGTTGGCACCAGAATAATATTTAGATCCGACTGAGAATATAATTTATAGATTTATCAAATTTAATATACCCTTTGACGTAATGCACCGTTCGATCCAGTTTCCTATGCCTGAAGCACCCCATAATTCAAACAAATATTTTCCGGATTGGAGAAGAATTTCAATAAGGCTCCGAATGCGTTGCAATTAATCCTCGATTAATCATACAGAGCAGTTAAATTTTTCGTTTTAACTTAGAATCAATTTAGAAAACCTTTATCAAAAGCTAAGACGAAAAGTGCTCAATAAAATTAACCTTATTGTATCATCTCAACAGAATTATTGAAAGGACATCAATAACAAAGTCTTGATATAATATCCATGAATCATGTATCATCAGTAAAACTACAGACAGTATTTCATTTTTCGAATTTATCGAAAGTGTTTGAAGATATAAATAACTAAAGAAATTCATCAGAATACTTTGTTAGAACAACTCACAAAAATTTGTTTCAAATTGAGTAATTCGTATGTAGCCATTTCCTTCATGGCCAGTTTCGGTGCCGCCATGTGGACTTGGCATAGATGTTTTGCCATCATCATCAATCATCGGTGAATTTATAACCGCTGTAATGAATTTGATGGATTGATTGAATTAGAAAAATTTTATGTCACTTTTTGTCGAGGAACTCAAAAAATAGCGATACAACCTTATAACCGCTTAATGAAGGAGCTCCCCCTCAACCGCCCGCGTAGTAATTGGGTAATTCGGAGGTTTCCATCTCCCCAAAATATCCGCCACCGCCATTTCGCGTATTTTCACGATAGTTTCCTAATCTATTTGGATTCCAGCTCAAAACCAAAAGTGCCAGCAAGACCTTTCCAGGTCCTCACGATGTCTGATTAGCGCCAAGACAATGCTCAGATGAGCTTGTTGAATCCAAACAGCCCATCACCAACACCTGCACGCAGCAGCAACGACTTTATTCGACTTTTCAAACCGTTGAAATTCCATAAAATCGCCTGGTTCAAGACGGATGACGGATGATCCCCACCAGAAAATTGGCCTGGACCTCCGCCGCCTAAAGATGGAAGTTTTTGCACCAGTATAGATTTGAGATCCGACATGAAGATATAAATTATAGGTTTCTCAAATTTAATATATCCTCTCACGTAAGCTCCGTTAGCTGCAGTTCCACCACCAGATACGTCCCAATAATTCAAACAAATATTTTCCTGGCCAAAGAAAAATTTCATAAGGCTCTGAATGTGTTGCATATATACCTCGATAATCATTATAGAAAAGTTAAATTTTTCGTTTGAACCGTTCTATATTTAAAACTACTTTCTTTGTCAGAATCAATTATGAAAAAGTGACAAATGAAATTAAACTTAATTGCTCTCTGGAAATATTGAGAGTACTTGCCAATATAAGATAACGTAAAATATATTAAATCTGAACAATGGAATATTGAAAGGCATCAATAATAGTTCTAATCATTTATTCTGTTTATCAATCAATATATTTTATGCATCTAATTCATAAGCTTAAATAATCATTATAAGTTTCAACATACAAATATTCAAATGTCAAATTATGATTGAAAGTGTTGTTTATGATTCAATGATTTAAGAAGTATAAAATAACTAAAATATTCATAGAATAACTTTTGAGAACAAACTCACATAATTTGTTTCAAATTGGGTAATTCGTAGTAGCCATTCCTGAATGGCCAACCTCAGTGCCACCATGTGGACTTGCATAGATGTTTTACCATCAATCATTTACTGCGTCTGTGAACTTATAACCGCTGTAGTGAATTGATGGATCAAATGAATTAGAAAATTTAATGTCACTTTTCGTTGAAGAATATAGAATGGCAATACAAATCTTTATAACCGCTAATGAAGGAGCTTCCCCCTCACCGCCACAATGTTGAGGTATTTCGGAGTTTCCACTCGAAATACCCACCACCACCGCCAGCATTCCCATCCATTATCTCCTGAGGATTCTATTTCTATTTGGATTTCCAGCTCCAAATCCAAAAGTGCCGGCAAGACCTTTTCCGGGGTCCTCCTGATATCTGAGTGGCGCCAAGACCATGCTCATATGTGCTGTTTAAATCCAAGTAGCCCGCCTCCAGCACCACCAGCATCCTCATAAAATGCATTTCCAATGAGTGTACCATCCTGAGACCCTTGCACCAGCAGCAACGATTATTCGACTTTTTTCAAACCGTTGAAATCTCCAAAATCGCCTGGTTCAAGGCGTATATCAGATGATCCGCCGCCCAGAAAATTGGCCTGGACCTCCGCCACCATAAGACGGCAAAGAGTTGCACCAGAATAATTTTAGATCCGACATGAAGATATAATTTTATAGATTTATCAAATTTAATATACCTTTGACGTTGGCACCGTTCGATCCAGTTCCTATGCCTGAAGCACCCATAATTCAAACAAATATTTTCCGGATTGGAGAAGAATTTCATAAGGCTCCGAATGCGTTGCATTAATTCCTCGATTAATCATACAGAGCAGTTAAATTTTCGTTTTAATCTAGAATCAATTAGAAAACCTTTTTTATCAAAAAGCTACGACGAAAAGTGCTCAATAAAATTAACCTTATTGTATCATCTCAACAGAATTATTGAAAGGACATCAATAACAAAGTTCTGATATAATATCCATGAATCATGTTATCATCAGTAAACTACAGACAGTATTTCATTTTTCGAATTTATCGAAAGTGTTGAAGAATAAATAACTAAAGATATTCATAGAATACTTTTGAGAACAACTCACAAATTTGGTTTCAAATTGAGTAATTCGTATGTAGCCATTTCCTTCATGGCCAGTTTCGGTGCCGCCATGTGACTTGGCATAGATGTTTTTGCCATCACTCATCAATCCATCGGTGAATTTATACACGCTGTAATGAATGATGGACTCGATTGAATTAGAAAATTTTATGTCACTTTTGTCGAGGGAACTCAAAAATAGCGATACAACCTTTATAACCGCAATGAAGAGCTCCCCCTCAACCGCCGTAGTAATTGGGTAATTCGGAGTTTCCATCTCCAAAATATCCGCCACCGCCATTTCCGTCATTTCACGATAGTTTCCTAATCTATTTGGATTTCCAGCTCCAAAACCAAAAGTTGCAGCAAGACCTTTCCAGGTCTCACGATGTCTGATTAGCGCCAGACAATGCTCAGATGAGCTGTTGAATCCAAACAGCCCATCCCAACACCCTGCACCAGCAGCAACGATTATCGACTTTTCAAACCGTTGAAATCTCCAAAATCGCCTGGTTCAAGACGGATGACGGATGATACCGCCACCAGAAAATTGGCCTGGACCTCCGCCGCCATAAGATGGAAGTTTCTGCACCAGTATAATATTGAGATCCGACATGAAGATATAAATTTATAGGTTTCTCAAATTTAATATATCTCTCACGTAAGCTCCGTTAGCTGCCAGTTCCACCACCAGATACGTCCCATAATTCAAACAAATATTTTCCTGCGAAAGAAAATTTCATAAGGCTCTGAATGTGCTTGCATTAATACCTTCGATAATCATATAGAAAAGTTAAATTTTCGTTGTTGAACCTATCTATATTTAAAACTACTTTCTTGTCAGAATCAATTATTGAAAAAGTGACAAATGAAATTAACTTAATTGCTTCTGGAAATATTTGAGAAGTACTTGCCAATATAAAGATAACGATAAAACTATATAAAATCTGAACAAAGAATATTGAAAGGGCATCAAAATAGTTCTAAATCATTTATTCTGTTTATCAATCAATATATTTTATGCATCTAATTCAAAGCTTAAATAATCATCTATAGTTCACATACAAATATTCAAATGTCAAATTTTATTAAAGTGTTGTTTTATGATTCAAATGATAAGAAAGTATAAAAATAACTAAAGATATTCATAGAAATACTTTGAGAAACAACTCACATAATTTGTTTCAAATTGGTGTAATTCGTATGTAGCCATCTTCCCTGAAGATGCAACTCAGTGCCCCATGTGGACTTGGCATAGATGTTTTACCATCAATCATTACTGCGTCTCGCGTAATTATAACCGCTGAGTGAATTGATGGATCAAATAATGAATACAGAAAATTTAATGTCACTTTTCGTTGAAGAATTCAGAATGGCAATACAATCTTTATAACCCTAATGAAGGAGCTTCCCCCTCCACCGCCACAATGTTGAGGTATTTCGGAGTTTCCACCTCCGAAATACCACCACCACCGCCAGCATTCCCATCATTATCTCCTGAGCGATTCTATTCTATTTGATTTCCAGCTCCAAATCCAAAAGTGCCGGCAAGACCTTTTCCGGGTCTCCTGATACCGAGTGGCGCCAAGACCATGCTCATTATGTGCTGTTTAAATCCAAGTAGCCCCGCCTCCAGCACCACCAGCATCCTCATAAAATGCATTTCCAATGAGTGTAACCATCCTGAGGACCCTGCCACCAGAGCAACGATTATTCGACTTTATCAAACCGGTAAATCTCCAAAATCGCCTGGTTTCAAGGCGTATATCAGATGATCTCGCCGCCAGAAAATTGGCCTGGACCTCCGCACCATAAACGGAAGAGTTGCACCAGAATAATATTTAGATCCGACATGAAGATATAATTTTATAGATTTATCTAATTTAATATACCCTTTGACGTATGCACCGTTCGATCCAGTTCCTATGCCTGAAGCACCCCATAATTCAAACAAATATTTCCGGATTGGAGAAGAATTTCATAAGGCTCCGAAATGCCGTTGCATTAATTCCTCGATAATCAAACAGAGCAGTTAAATTTTTCGTTTTAACTTAGAATCAATTTAGAAAACTTTTTTATCAAAAGCTAAGACGAAAAGTGCTCAATAAAAATTAACCTTATTGTATCATCTCAACGAATTATTGAAAGGACATCAATAAACAAAGCTCTGATATAATATCCATGAATCATGTTATCTCAGTTAAAACTACAGACAGTATTTCATTTTTCGAATTTATCGAAAGTGTTGAAGATATAAAAACTAAAGATATTCATAGAATACATTTGAGAACAACTCACAAAATTTGTTTCAAATTGAGTAATCGTATGTAGCCATTTCCTCCATGGCCAGTTTCGGTGCCGCCAATGTGGACTTGGCATAGCATGTTTTGCCATCAATCATCAATCCATCGGTGAATTTATAACCGCTGTAATGAATGATGGATCGATTGAATTAGAAAATTTTATGTCACTTTTTGTCGAGGAACTCAAAATAGCGATCACGAACCTTTATAACCGCTAATGAAGAGCTCCCCCTCAAACCCGCCGTAGTAATGGGTAATTCGGAGTTTCCATCTCCAAAATATCCGCCACCGCCATTTCCGTCAGTTTCCGATAGTTTCCTAATCTATTTTGATTTCCAGCTCCAAACCAAAAGTGCCCAGCAAGACCTTTCCAGGTCCTCACGATGTTCTGATTAGCGCCAAGACAATGCTCAGGATTGAGCTGTTGAAATCCAACACAAGCCCATCACCAACACCATGCACAGCAGCAAAACGATTATTCGACTTTTCAAACGTTGAAATCTCCAAAATCGCCTGCGTTCAAACGGATGACGGATCATCCGCCACCAAAAAATTGGCTGGACCTCCCCGCCATAAGATGGGAAGTTTTTGCACCAGTATAGATATTGAGATCCGACATGAAGATAATAAAATTTCATAGGTTTCTCAAATTTAATATATCCTCTTCACGTAACTCCGTTAGCTGCAGTTCCACCACCAGATACGTCCCATAATTCAAACAAATATTTTCCTGGCGAAAGAAAATTTCATAAGGCTCTGAATGTGTTGCATTAATACCTCGATAATCATATAGAAAAGTTAAATTTTTCGTTTGGACCATTCTATATTAAAACTACTTTCTTGTCAGAATCAATTATGAAAAGCTGACAAATGAAATAACTTAATTGCTCTCTGGAAATATTGAGAGTACTTGCCAATATAAGATAACGTAAACTATATAAATCTGAACAAGAATATTGAAAGGCTCATAAAATAGTTCTAAATCATTTATTCTGTTTATCAATCAATATATTTTTAATGCATCTAATCTCAAAGCTTAAATAATCATCTATAAGTTCACATACAAATATTCAAATGTCAAATTTATTGAAAGTGTGTTTATGATTCAATTGATAAGAAGTATAAAATAACTAAAGATATTCATAGAATACTTTTGAGAACATAACTCACATAATTTGTTTCAAATTGGGTAATTCTTAATGTAGCCATCCCTGAATGGCCAACCTCAGTGCACACATGTGGACTTGCATAGATGTTTACCATCAATCATTACTGCGTCTGTGAACTTATAACGCCTGTAGTGAATTGATGGATCAAATGAATTAGAAATTTAATGTCACTTTTCGTTGAAGAATTAGAATTATGGCAATACAATCTTTATAACCCTAATGAAGGAGCTTCCCCCTCCACCGCCACAATGTTGAGGTATTTCGGAGTTTCCACCTCCGAAATACCCACCACCACCGCCAGCATTCCCATCATTATCTCCTGAGGTTCTATTTACTATTTGATTTCCAACTCCAAATCCAAAAGTCCGGCAAGACCTTTTCCGGGTTCCTCCTGATATCTGAGTGGCGCCAAGACCATGCTCATATGTGCTGTTAAATCCAATAGCCGCCTCCAGCACCCCAGCATCCTCATAAAATGCATTTCACAATGAGTGCTACCATCCTGAGACCTTCACCAGCAGCAACCATTATTCGACTTTTCAACCGTTGAAATCTCCAAAATCGCCTGGTCAAGGCGTATATTCAGATGATCCGCCGCCAGAAAATTGGCCTGGACCTCCGCCACCATAAGACGGAAGAGTTGCACCAGAATAATATTTTAGATCCGACATGAAGAATAATTTTATAGATTTATCAAATTTAATATACCCTTTGCACGTATGCACCGTTCGAACCAGTTCCTATGCCTGAAACACCCCATAATTCAACAAAATATTTCCGGATTGGGAGAAGGAATTTCATAAGGCTCGATGCTTGCGATTAATTCATCGATAAATCATACAGACGCAGTTAAATTTTTCGTTTAACTAGAATCAATTTAGAACACCTTTTTTTAATTCAAAAGCTAAGACGAAAAGTGCTCAAGTAAAAATTAACCTTAATTATATCTCAACCAAATTATTGAAAGGACAATCAATAACAAAAAGTTCTGACAAACTATTTACAATATTCCTAAATATGGTATGTAACTTATACATGATTATTTAAGCTTATGTATATGATAACTACATGTTTAAAATATATCATTCATATGTTAAACATAAAACAAACACGGATTTAGAAGCATTATTATGGCCCTTATCTTCCATTTTCAATTTTTTACTGCGTAGTAATCATATCGAAAGAATTGTATAAGAAATTAAATAACTAAAAGAGATTCAAACACCACCTTGAGAAATCAAATCACTCCATGTGAGCGAATGAGGATATGCTATGATGAGTATGAGTGGAAAAAAATATTTTAAACATATTGTCGCATGACAACATCATTTTATACGAACCCTAACAATTTACCCTTTTAGACATCCTAAACCATATAAGAAATGACAATAGACTTGAAAATTTACGTTGGGTCACTTGTTCTGAAAACAATAAGAACAAAGGCAAATTTCTCTAATGGTCCCAGATGTGTTGGCTTCGACTCTCTCAAGTTCTTAGATGGTATAACATCTTCAACGCCTCCTTCATATCTTACTTTATAAGTGTCATCGTTTGTGTTATAGCCAAGTATTTCAATAACCACTCCTCGCTTTGCTTCGTCTTAGGTTTCAGCAAGTTTTGCCATTACTACTTTCGACTAATTTATGTCGAGGATAAAACGCAATAGAGTCGTCGCAGCTTTTATAAGATATCCATTACCTTGCGTAGAGTCTACGATATAATAGTTTCGACTTAACCTTAAACGTTTCTTTGTCAACGGTTTGTCGTCAAGAACTACACGAACTTTTGTACCAGGAATGAGGGTAAATTGTGTTGAATTTCTGATATTTTGTGTTTGGCTTCGTTTCTTTTGTATATACTTTTCTCTCTGTTGTTGTGTCATTGAATTTGGTGTATGTCCTGTTGTAGAATGTGTTGAGGAATTATATACTTCGAGAAAATGTTTCATTGTTTCTTCGGTAAAGTCTCGCTCTTGGTTTAAATCTCTGAGAGTCCTTATGAAGCGGTTTATGATGCCGAGTATGTTATGGTTATGGTCTTCAGTAGTGTAGTGAGTTATGTTATGCTTAATGAGAAATTCTGTGATTTCATTGCTGAGGTATGCACTGTCTTGGTCTGATGTTAAAGTACTTGGGTTATGTTCTGCTACAAAACTTTTGTAAAACTCTTAACACTTCACGAGTTCCTTTATTTTCATTGGATATGCATATGCTTTACGAGTGTTAACATTTATGAAGATGAGGAATGGTTTATGTCCTCCTTTTCTGCTTTGAATGAGAGTGTCAAATTGGTATGCGTCAGGAGTGTTGGAGTAAATTGGTAAAAAGTAGTCGTAAGGGTTTATTTTTGTTTGATGTACAACATTTTTGTCAAAGAACCTTTTCACTTCAGCTCTGTTAGTAAATCCCCACTCTTTGCAGCTTCATTGAACTTCTTAAATGACCTCCATGGATGTTGTTCGAATACTTCTTTCAAGCTCATTTATGTAAAGTTAAAGAGGTTTAACCAACTCGTATCCAAGCGTGCATTGTTATATAAGGAGGCATATAATCTTTTCCATTACCTGCTGGGTCTGTAATACCAGCTACAACATGTGTATGATTTCCTGCGGTTCCACAGAAAATACCTGTGCTTGAATCTACTGGGTCAGTTGAAATATCATATCTATGCATTCCCTGTCTATCCGAACCCGCTGCAAGATTTGTATAACCTCTTTTTGTTATTGAATGTGAATGGTTTCCTTCCACAGATGTTCTTCCACTGAACCTATGCATATGTGAAGGAAGGTTTTCAATACCTATTTTCTTTGAACCTCCCATCTTCATTGACTGCGTATTAGTGTAGAATGGAAAACTGTCAACTATTTCATACCATCTACCACCAAATAAAGTGTTTGGATTTATTGGATTCATAGACGTATAAACAGCTCCTATAGGATATATTAAATCATATATGCTCATAACTCTATAAACATATTCTAAAGAACTTATGTCATTAAATACCATTTGGAATGTATCTCCCGGATGAAATGTTGCATTTGTTCCACTTTTATAATGTAATGTTAGTTCAATAGAATTATCCAAGAAAAATTCAAAAGTATCCGGTTGAAGACCTCTAACAAATTCAAATGGAGTTGCTGGTTCACCATTTATAATTTCTGTTGTAAATGTCATTGTATCTGGTTTCGAAAATTTCTTTGTTAGTTCTGCATCCACATAAGTTTTGTCTGCTTTTTATCTAACATTGCTGGTAGTTCATGTGTTCAAAGTTTCTGGCATGACCTTCATATTCATACATTTGTTATTAAGGAGTTTAGTGTATCTTTTACGCTTGTACTTGGATTCTCTAAAGGTGCACTTGAACCAAGGTCAAAGTTCAATATTATGTCGTCTGCTCTAACAGTAGTGAAGGATTTATGTGTATGGTTCTTGTCAGCTTTACTGTCTAATGTAGCTTGAAGTTCATTTATATCGGAGATGTTGTGTTTATGAGATTTCAAAACTTTGTTCATTGCTTCGAGTTCAACTTTGTCAGCTTTACTTTTAATAGCATCTTCAAACGTTATTTTTGACTTAACTCTCAAAGTAAATCTTGGTTCAACTAATACACCGTTAACATTGAAAGTAGAGGCATAAATTTCACCGGTATAACCAAATGCTTCTGGTGCTTTAGCTACATCATACTGTACAGTACAGCTTATGTCATAACCTTTAGCACGAATGTATTTATATCTTCTTTCATTAACATTTTTTTGTCTTCGCTTCATCACTTCGTGTTAAATATCCATGGTAGTCCGTTATAATCTGTTCGTCTGAAGTTATATAATGAACATGGTTCTTGTCCGCTTTACTATTTAATGTAGCTTGAAGTTCATTTATATCGGAGATGTTGTGTTTATGAGATTTCAAAACTTTGTTCATTGCGTCAAGTTCATTTTTGTCCGCTTTACTATTTAATGTAGCTTGAAGTTCATTTATATCGGAGATATTGTGTTTATGTTCTTTATCTGCTTTTTCGGCTAATTTCTCTTCTATCTCATTTATTTCAAGTTCATGCCTACCACCACCTCCCGAAGAAGTATTTTTCTTCAGCTCTTGAAGAACGTCCACTTCGCCATCTTTGGTGTCAATAATGAGACTTTGAGTTAAAACCTTTCCTGTCTTAATGGATGTTTGTAAAACTTCTTCTTCACCGTGTTCGGGTCATGGTCGTCATCATATCTTGTGAAATCAGAGATGTTGTCATACATTAAGCATATCTGTCTCAAAAGTTCTGCTATTTGAAACTGGAACGAAAGATATACAGAACTTTCATCATCTCCTAAAGTCAAGTCTGCTTTCTTAAGTATTTCTTGAATGTATGCAATGAGAACAGAGTACCTTGGAAAATATTCGAACAATATTTCATTAGCTGTTGGTTTTGGTGGTTCTTTTGGAGTTTCTGTTGTTTCAGTTCCTTCTGTAGGTTCTGT